GAAGAAGAGAGAGAGAGAGAGAGAGAGAGAGGAGGGGGAGGCAGAGTGCGCTTTAAAAGAGAAACGGAAAGACGATCGGATCCATGGACACGGTTCCATCGTCTCCTCGGGTCACGTTTCCATATCTTTTCACGAAAGAGTTTTTCGATTCGCGTCGATAGAAGGAATCCGAGGCGGAATACTGGCGCAGAGTTGCGAAAGTGAAGCCCTTTATCCGACGCGAACGGGGAACGGAAACGAGGAACGCGCGCGCAAGGTGGCACGCAATATCCGGACAGATTTTGGATTCGAAATCGGAGACTATTCCAGCCAGATTTCAATGCTGCGGTCCAATAATCGGAGAAGGGAGGGAGGTGGGGGGGGGAGGAGGGAATGAAAAATTTAAATAAACGTTGAAAATGGGCGAGCCGCATACCGCGCATTTTCCTCCGTATCGAGGAAGCGGCGACACACACGCGCGTCTACGTGTACGTGCGTACATTATTATTGCGCGCGTGTACACCCACCAATGCGCCATTTTATACATACGAAAACGAATAATCCAGATTTGCAGCGGCGGCATGTCAATCAGCCTGGCTATTACCGTCATTATTATTTCGGTTAATTGGATCGCGATTTTCCGTTACATCCGCGCCTATATCGAGAATTATACGGCATTATCGTCTCGAATCTCGCCGCGCCGGAGAGAAACCATACCGCTGTCGCCCATTGTCCGGTGTGATGCTCATTTCTCGCCACTTTTTCTTCCCTCCTCGCGCTTCCCTCCTCTATTTTCTCTTTTTTCGATTCCCCCCCCCCCTCCCCTCCCCTCCCTCTTTTTTCGCCCGCTATAATTATATTCCGTCAGCGGAATCGCGAGTGTTCCATTAAAAAGTGACGGAACAAATGGGGGGGCGCGATTGAAAAGGGAGAAAGGGAAGAGAGGGAAGGAAAAATGTCAGCAGACGAGAGAATATAGCCCGAACGAAGGTAGAACGAAAGCGAGCGTTGAAAGCGATCGTTTCGATGATCTTTTCATCCCGCGATGAAAACGAAACGGCGAGAATTTACGGCTTGTTAGAGGCGAATGGGGGCATGATGGAACTAGGAGCGTCATTAAACGAAACTGTAACATCGCGTGTTTACTTAGCACCTCGGTTAAGTGGCCCGTTTCTTCGCGGCTCCTTTCTTGATGGACAATTAACCGTTATGAAATGCTAATATTTTCGCGGCTACATCGCGATATCGCGTTACGAGCCGGCGTCCCCGCCAAATCGATCGGCGGACTCGGCGATACCTATTAAAACGTGTTGACTTTTTCATCCCCTCGAGCGTTATATTAAGTCGTTTCTTAACTTTCATCATGCTTGTTCTCTCTTTCTCTCTTTTCTTTTTTTATCCGCTGACAAGCGTCATCATCACCTGCCTCGTCGCGATGCGCGTGTCGCAATACCCCCTTCGATCCGACCGAATCACCGATATCACGGTGTGTAATCACGAATCTCTTGGCGCAAACCCACTAATCCTTTAATCAGGAACGTAGTTCTGGCCGGGTTGGCAC